AACTCATAAGCCACCACTAACCAGAAGAGTTCAGGAAAGAACAAAAGGAGACACCATGTGTCCAACCACCTGCCATAATCCTTCTCGTTGGCATCCATCTTGGCTGAGCAATGCGTGTGCCACCAGGAAGGACTCTTGAGTCAGGATGATTGGCCAAAGACAACCTGGAAACTAATCCCATTACCATAAAACCTGAGACTATGAGCCATGTGGCAGAGCTGTTTTCCTGGATTCCCTTACCCTTCAGCTCTCTGCCCAGGAGCCCTTTCCAGTAATATTTCTTGCTTGGCTAGCACATGTGTCTACTCGGACAGTTCATTTCCAAGTGTTAAACAGGAGCCCATTTTTGGGCCCTGGAAGGGGTCCCCCTTCCTGCAACACAAGGACAGTGGTTTTTAATTCCTCATAAAACTGAGTAGTCCCCTCAGTGCAAGGACTGACATATGCATTCACCAATGCTGGAATTTTATGTTCCCTCATTTAGCCTGGGGGACAGAGACCCCACCTCTCCCCAGTAAAATTTCTGTCAGGTTCTAAATATCAGCTATGATCAGTTTAGTCAGGCCAGTGGTCACCCATCTTGGCAATCCATTTACAAACACTTTTAAGGATTCTTCCTGGGTTTAAGAAATTATGTAGCTATGGTCTACAGCCTCAGGTGTCCCATTTCTTTTTCTTTTAATTGAAGTATAGTTGATTTACGGTACTGTGCCAGTCTCTGCTATACAGCGAGTGACTCAGTTTTACACATGTATTTCTTTTTTAAAATACTCTTTTCTTATGGTTTCCTGCGCTGTATATAGTAGCACCTTGTTGTTTGTCCATTCTAAATGTTTGCATCTACCAACAGCGGATTCCCAGCTGGTCCCTCCTCTCCCTCGCCTTGGCAACCACAAGTCTGATCTCTATGTCTGTGAGTCTGTTTCTGTTTGTATAGGTTCATTTGTGCTGTGTTTTAGTTTCTACTTATAAGTATGATATTTGTCTTTCTCTTTCTCACTTCACTTGGCATGATAATCTCTAGTTCCATCCATGTTGCTGCAAGTGACATTATTTTGTAGTTCTTTATGGCTAAGTAGTATTCCACTGTGTATATGTATGTCTCATCTTCTTTATCCATTCATCTGTCAGTGGACATCTAGGTTATTTCCATGTCTTGGCTTCTGTGAATAATGCTGCTGTGAACATAGGGGTGCATGTATCTTTTTGAATTATAGTTTTGTCTGGGTGTATGCCCAGAAGTGGGATTGGTGGATCATATGATAACTCTGGTTTTCTGAGGAACCTCCATACTGTTTTCCATAGTGTCTGTACCAACTTGCATTCCTCAGGTGGTCCCATTTCTAAAGGTAACCATTTAATAGTGTCTCCGGAGTGGAAAGGCAAGTCAGAAGATTTTTAGAATGAGTATTCAAAGATAGAGTTGAGCAGTTTTTAGGTACCTATCATTAATCTTTCATTAACCTTCTACAACAAATCTTTAAATGAGGCTATTTTGAAATTTTGAAGTCTTTTGAGCCTTCTATATATCAGTTTAAATAGGTACAGTAGTTTAAGATGAGAGCTGTGTAAAATTTTAACTTGGAAGTTTTTCAATTCCCAGGATCCAAAGCTTTAAAAAGCTAGCCCTGTACAAATATTTCTCCCTGCTAACCTAATTTTTAAAAGAGAAAAATTCTTTCCACTATTTCTAGTAGACCCTGCAGGCAGAGTTTCAGGAGACTGCCAGCTTTTAACTGCATTCAGAAAATCAGTTTTGGAATGCCAAAAAGAGAACCTAGTCTTGGCCATTTAAGGGTGGGGTTTCCTCTAATTTTTAGTTACGTATTTGCGAGCATACATAAACCCAGCTGGCATTCCTGTAGGTGGCTGTCTGTCTGCACGGGAGTTTGGCCTTCAAGGCACAATTTCCCATTATTAACTTGGCAGCCTGATTCAGATATGAGATACAGTCTGAGCAACATTATAAGGGCAGTATAGTGAATCGAATGTGTGCTGCTTCTGAGTCTAGCTCCCCAAGAATGTTATGCTTTATGGTTCAGGCAGGTATTTCTGCCAGTGGGATGGTTTGGTTGATGCGTGGTGCAGATACACAGTGCACAGTGGAGAGGAGAGAGAAGGCCAAAGGGCAGAGGAAGTTTTTTTAATGTTTAAATTATCCTCAACTTGCCTTAGAATATGAATTTTTATTTCATCACACATAATTTGTTAAAGTTAAAAGCAGAATGGTAAGTGTATTGATGGGCTAAGGAGTAAGACTGTGAAGACAGAAGTGACATGTGACAGAGCAAGGATACTTAAGAAAGCACATCCTGTTCCCCTACTAGAAGTAGTGTTAGAATATAAGGCTGTGGAGATGATAGGCAGAGATTAGGTTATAAAGAACCTTTCATACCACTGAGCTTACATGTAGGCAAGACTTGAGTTGCTGAAGAATAAGCGGAATGTATTCATTCAAAGATTATTATTGACCAAATACTTACTAAGTGGCTACTATGTGCTAAGGGGCTTCCCTGGTGGCTCAGACAGTAAAGCATCTGTCTGCAGTGCGGAAGACCCGGGTTCGATCCCTGGGTTGGGAAGATCCCCTGGAGAAGGAAATGGCAGCCCACTCCAGTATTCTTGCCTGGAAAATCGCATGGACAGTGGAGCCTGGTAAGCTACCTTCCACTGGGTCGCAAAGAGTCGGACATGACTGAGCAACTTCACTTTCACTTTCATGGGCTAAGTACTGAGGAAAAAAATTTTTTAAATTCCTGCCTCTGGGGAGTTAACTTTCCAATGGGGAAACAATCAAAATGAACACCTTGCAGGTCATTATAATGACTGGGTTTTAATCATAGTGAAATGGAAAGCCGTGGAAGGATTTGAGCAGATGAATAACACTTTTCACTTACTCCAGCTGTTGTATTGGGAATAAATTGTACAATGATAAAAAGCAGGGAGGTAATTAAGCTTTTTAATAATCTAGACAAGAGATAATGGTGGTTTTGAGCAGATGTTGTTCATAGCAATGGAGAGGTTAAAAAGTAGTCAGATTATGGATAATCAATGTAAAACAAATAGGATTTGCTTCCAGGATAGATGTGCTGTTTGAGGGGAAGAAGAGTAAGATTTTTAGCCTGAGGAACTGGAAAGAATGGAGTTTCCACTAACTGATAGGGCAAAGAAGAAAGGAGTGAGATCCGGAGTGCTTAGCAAACTTGCATTTGCTAAGTTTGAGATACCTATTAAACATCAAATGGAGATATTTCATAAGCAGTTGGATGTACAAACCTGGAGTTCAGGAGAACAGTCCTCATTTGATCTATGAATTTGGGAGTTAAACATCAGCAAATAGATGGGGCTTAAAGCCAAGATGGAATGATTCTTGAATAAAGAGGGCAAAGGACAGACCCCTGGGTCACTCCAGTGTTTAGAGGTTAAAAAATGGAGCAAGAACCAACAAAGGAGGCTGATGGAGCAGCCAGAGAGGGAGAAGGAAAACCAGGAAACAGTGCTGTGAAACCAAGTGAAGAAAGTGTCAGAGAAGAGGGAGTCACCAGCTATGCCAGACTCTGGTGGTGGGGGAGGTAGAGGGAGAACTGAGACTTGATCACTGGATTTAGCAAATCCAAATCCCTGGTGACCTTCACTAGAGCAGCAGGAGTGAACTCAAGAAGAGAAATCTAGCACAGAAGTATTGACACTAAGTTTTCTTGTAAAAGGAAGAAAAGAAATGAGTAGTATTTGGAGGAATAAGTGGAATTGAGAAAGAATTTTAAGAAAGAAATAATAGCGTGTTTGTCTGTTCCTGGAAAGATTCGGTAGAGAGGAAAAGATTGATGATGCAAGATAAGGAAGGAGAGCAACACTTATATGAAAGACTCAGTGCTAGAGCCAAGATAGTTCATTCATGACCACAGGAAGGAAGATAAAATATTTAGGAGGTGGAGGTGGATGGATCAGTTTGGAAGTTAGTGAATATTTTCTCCAAATGCTTTACTTTCTCAGTGAGATAGGAAGCAGACATCAGTTTAGAGGGAGAATGAGGAAGGAAGCACTAGAGGTTGGAGAAGAGATGGTATAAAATAATTGGGAGGGTAAGAAAGTATTGATACATGAAATAAAGAAATAAAGTGAGGGATATATTAAGATATGCTTGGTAAGAAAATGTAGATACAGTCAAAGAGAGACTAGTAGCAAGAAGACCATTACAGTGGTCTAAATAAGATTTGATGAGCAATCAGTTCAGGTACAGTGTCAGGGTCATTAGCATATAGATAGTAGTTCATGCTTCAAGTATGGATAAAATTGCCCAAAGAGAGCAGAGTGACAATAGCAATGGATAGAGGCCACTGGAAGACAAGCTCAAAACTCAGAAAACTCCTCTAGATAAATAGAAACCATGGGAAAGAGGGAACAGAGGTGAGATTAGATAAGGCTTATATATGCCATCTAGGTTAATTACCTGGAAAGTTTTAGTTTTGATGAAGGAGCAGGAGAGAATCCCCTTTCATTGTTAGTTGAGTAAATAGAAATGAGTACAGAGAATAAATAGATCACACTTTCAAGAAAGAGAAGTAGAAGTAGCAAAACCTAAACCTGGGCCTGGAATGCCATTCCTTTCAGAGACAACAGCATCTGGAAAGGCCAGGAGGCATAGAAGTGCATATGTAAGGAATTTTAAATAGTTTGATATGAAATATAAATTTTTTAAAATATTTGATTCAGTTAATTTCTTGTTCCTTTGTCTTTTAACGGTGATCAATAGATAGTTCTCTTTGCAGGGGTTGAGAAGGGAGTAGTACTCTTCTATTTAGTCATATGTGTATGTGTCCCTCAGCTAACTTTCTGAAAAAATACCCTGTGGCCTTTCACATGAAGTACACCTTGAGACTGTTCAAGCTCTTGAAATGGGAAACTAGGCTGTAGTATTCTTTGTAATATTGTAATGTGTTCCATTTTCTCTGACATAAAAGTTGTATGAAAGCTCCTTTCTCTTCATTTGCTTATTTCAGGAGGCGGCCCAAAATGTCCACTGAACGGACTTCTTGGACAAGTTTGTCCACTATTCAAAAAATAGCACTGGGCCTTGGGATCCCTGCCAGTGCAACAATTGCCTATATCCTATACCGCAGATATAGGGAAAGCAGAGGTATGTGAATCCATGGCTGTACATACCGAAATGGTTAGACTATGTTCTGGCATTGTTAACTTGAAACTTCTTTCAAGTTATCATTTGTTGGGATGTAATTAACTCTCTGTGAGGGACCTTTGAAACAAAGTTTTTCTTTTCTCTGTTAATGTGAAGCTAGTCTGTGAAATAAAGAACCATTTTATAATTCTGTTGATTTGTTCCATTCAGCAACATCAGCACTGTAAGGGATTCTGCTAACTGTTGGGTCCAGTTTCCCCACAGGCTGGACCTAGAGAGTAGGAGTTACAAAAATGATTTGTGTATAAACAAGGGAAGTTCTGAGCCTAGTGGACTCCTCAGGCAACTTCTGGCCTTCATTATTCTCCAGGAGTCCTGTCTTGGGAGAAGTAGTTTGCCCAGAATCCAATGGCTTTTCCCATTTTAGCATTTGAAAACAGTATCCCAGAGAGAATGCCCATCTTCTGGTCTTTGAGGACCTTTTAGTTTCCACCCAGATGCTGCTGCTCCTTCTCTTTATGATTGAAATCCTCAATTTATCTTTTACATCAGTGTCTCTTTGACAGCTCTGATTCAGGGGAAGGGAAGTAATAGCTTTGGGTATTGTCTAAGTCTGATGTGATGATCTGTGCAGAAGAACGGCTGACATTTGTTGGGGAAGATGACATCGAGATAGAGATGCGAGTCCCCCAGGAGGCTGTGAAGCTCATCATTGGCCGGCAAGGAGCCAATATTAAACAAGTAAGTGTGTGAGCAGGCAGCAGCTTTCCTAGGGACTGATTTCTGCTGTCCATCCTCTGTCCCCATTCTGTAAAACCCACTTACACTATGTATATTTTAAACAAACAAACAAACATCAACAACAAAAATAGGAAGTTTCTAGCTGCTGTTTTCCTTCCAGAGATGAGTACTTCGACTTCTTATAGAATGGGTGACTTAGCTTGAAATGGAGATTTTTAATTGGATGGTTCTCATCCTGGTATAGTTCGAATCATTCCTTTCTGCAATGGAATTATGAACTCATTAATTGGCAGTAATAAATTAATTGCTCCCTGATTGTTTTTACCATCTTCCATTATTCAGTTGGAATGTCAAGGAAACAAAATAATTGATTCTTTAATCCAAATTTGGGGAAAGACCAGTCTAAACACAGAGAAACTGTTTTGGATTAACTGCTGTTTAGGGTTACCTTTGTCTCTCCTTCCATAAGTACATATAATTGAAGACTGCTTATGGCACCTGATTTCACTGATTGCTGTGTCCAGTTCATCCACCTCCAGGGTTAGGTTGAGAGTACCCTTAGCTTACCCAGGTGAGAGCTCTTCCAGAACATTCTGCCACGTATCCTTTTCTCTGCAGCTAAGAAAGAAGACAGGTGCTCGGATCGATGTGGACACGGAGGATACAGGAGATGAGCGGGTGCTGCTTATCAGTGGTTTTCCTGTTCAGGTGTGCAAGGCCAAAGCAGCGATTCATCAGATCCTGACAGAGAATACCCCAGTGTCTGAGCAGCTCTCAGTTCCCCAGAGATCTGTGGGCAGGATCATAGGTACCCCTGGACAGCTTTCTCTGCTGTCTCCTTTTTGTTTCCCTTTGCCTTTCTTTCACACCTTCCAGAGGGTTTTTCCTGGCCTACTTCCCCTTCACCTTGCTGAGGAAAAAAAGACAGGGAAATTGAGACCAGAACTTTACTTTTTTATAGAGCCAGTGGTAAAGCAAAACTCAGTACCTCAAGAAGTTGTAAGAGAACGTCCCTGGTGGTTCAGTGGTTGAGATTTTTGCCTTCCAGTGCAGGGAACATGGGTTTGATCCCTGGTCGGGGAACTAAGATCCCACAAGCCTCAGGGGAGCTAAGCCTGTGTGCCACAACCAGAGAGATGCCTACATGCTACAGCTAAGACCCAACACAGCCAAAAATAAATAATACAAATTTTTTAAAGTATGATCTGAACCTTACAAATAGGTTCCACAAGGGTTCATGTAAATGTATTTACCTCATATTAGACTTTTAAAGGGAAGCTAAGGATGCTGATTTTATCCTAAATCTCTCAAGACTGTGCTCTAGAAAGCACCTTCCCCTAGAGCATTCCTCATGCTGTTGTGAGAAGCAGAGAAATGTTCTGTCCTTGGTCCAGTGGTTTCATGTAGGATATCTTCTAATGAAGTGAGGCTGTGAAGTCTGCTCAGTGGCCAGAAGATGAAAGTGACATGACCACATTAACTTAGCCAGTGTGTAGAATTTAAATAAAATGGATAGAGCAAATAATCTAGTACATATATAGAGCAAATAATCTAGTACATATATAAAGCAAATAATCTAGTGTGTGTGTGTATATATATATACTATAATAATCCTTATTATAGTAAGGATTTCAGTAGCTTCTGTTTTCCATTCACTATCCTACAGTCTGTTTAGTTTGAAAATGAGCCCTGACTCTCCCCTCGTAGTGTATACAAGATAGTGGCATCACTAGTAGTAGTAGAGGAAAGGACAGTGTTTTATGTATTATTCAATACAGGGCGAGGCGGCGAGACAATTCGTTCTATCTGTAAGGCCTCAGGAGCCAAAATCACCTGTGACAAAGAATCAGAAGGAACATTGCTACTATCAAGACTTATAAAAATCTCAGGAACACAGAAGGAAGTGGCAGCAGCTAAGGCAAGTAGCTAACCTGAATTGTGTCTGAGAGTGAGAAGAACCCTTCACTCCATCGTGGGTCAGTATCTGACCATGTAGATATCATCCCTTCTCTTATTTTCCACAGCATTTGATACTGGAGAAAGTTTCAGAAGATGAAGAACTTAGGAAGAGAATTGCTCATTCTGCAGAAACCAGAGTTCCACGGAAGCAGCCAATCAGCGTAAGAAGAGAGGAAATAACAGAGCCAGGTGGAGCCAGAGAGCCAGCTTTATGGAAAAACACTGGCACTAGCTTAAAACAGGCTGCACCTCTGGCAGTTCCTCCCCACAAAGGAGATGGCGACGTGGCTGTTGTAGGACCAGAAGAGGGTTCCTGGGAGAAACCTAATGATGACAGCTTTCAGAGGTCTGGTGTCCAGACCAGTCCAGAGATGTCCATGTTTGAAAGTATGTAACAAAGGGGGAACCCCTTAGCCATATGGAAGATAGAAATACTGGCTATGTGTGTATGCTCAGTTGTGTCCGACTGTTTGCAACCCCATGGACTGTTGCCTGCCAGTCTTGTCTGTTCATGGGATTTCCCCGGAATACTTTTAACAGGTTGCCATTTACTTCTCCAGGGTATCTTCCCAACCCAGGGATCGAGCCCTCTGCCAATCCTGCATTGGCAGGTGGGTTCTTTATCACTGCTACCTGGGAAGCCAGAAATACTGGCTTAGATATCCCAGAATAAGGAAACAATAAAAAAATAATTTCTGTTTTCTTGACTACATTTACAGTTCTTTAATTACAGATGGGACTTTCTGGTAATATTTTCCTTGGGTTAATACTGAACACAAATTTTTTTTCTGAATACAAACCAGCTAATAATTAGAGAACAATATAGAAATATGCTCGTTCACAGGAAACTGGTCTGTAAGTAATACATCAAATAATTGAATTACATGATATTCTTTCTTCAAACATATACAAATAAGTAAAATACTTTTGAGTCCAATATTTTTTCCTGTCTCATTACTGTTCTTAAAAAACTTCACCATTCAAGAAGAATGAAAAGGCTGTGGGCTTTTTCTTCTATGCATAGGTACTGGGATGGGCAGGGAAGACCGGAGTGCTTAAGAGGTTCATAGACGTGCCCAGGGTCTGTAATGAGTCGGTGGTGGGATACAATCTAGAGCAGGCCCACATCTGTCCACATATCTTCTCCCTGGTCCTGCTGTAGCTAGCATATGGGCATTTCCCTTCATTATAATTGGTGCTGATTTGAATACATGGCAGATGACAAAGAATGTGAATGAACTCTAATTACTCAATTACATAGAAAGGAACAGAACATAGCTTATAGTACCTTTCCTTCAGGATTTTCTTGTATGATTCATCCACTTGTCCCTCCAGCCATTTTTAAATGGTATTAGCCACTTGGTAGTTGTACCTCTTACCCCACTGATGCAGTCTTCCCATTTCAACCAGAGATGATTCTGATAATGGTCATCACTTTAGATAACAATGATTCTGTAGTTTAACTTGCTTATGCCTGTGGTTAGTTCCCAGTCCGGACTTCAGTTTCCATGCTGATGAATTCCTAGAAGTCTATGTCTCTGCCTCTGAACATCCTAACCACTTCTGGATCCAAATCATTGGCTCCCGCAGCCTGCAACTGGATAAGCTTGTCAGTGAGATGACCCAGCACTACGAAAATAGTCTGGTGAGTCACTACAGGGACAGGGCTGGGGTCCAATGAAGGGGGACATATCCTTTTCACTGTGATGTGTTCTCTTCCCCTTCCTGTGGAGCAGTGGCTTGTTCTTCCTTCTGGTGTCCAATCTCTTAGCCCCTCCCTTCCTAACTCTGCCGTCTCCTGACTCCTCACTTCCTTGTGCAGCCTGAAGACTTGACTGTACACGCGGGAGACATCGTTGCTGCGCCTTTACCGACAAATGGTTCCTGGTATCGCGCCCGGGTCCTCGGTACCTTGGAGAATGGGAACCTGGACCTTTACTTTGTTGACTTTGGAGATAATGGAGATTGCCCACTGAGGGATCTCAGGGTGCTCAGGTCAGTGTGGTGTCAGGCTGGAGTCTCATCCGTTGACTCAGTCCTGGCCATAGCGTGGTGAGCTGTTTGCACTTCTCACTGGGGAGGGGGTGGGGTAGGGTTGGAGGATAACCTCTTTACAGAGATCAGTTAATTATCTTCTGCTGCTGGGTTAACTGGTGCTGTCTAGAAGCAAGGAATATAAGAAGGCCCTCCTAGCACTAGGATTCTAATTTCAGTTTCTTTCACTTTAGGAGTGACTTTCTAAGCCTTCCGTTTCAAGCAATAGAGTGTAGTCTGGCACGGATTGCCCCCTCAGGTAAATTGATCCTATTACCTATTGACTCTGCATCCAAATAGAATAACTTTCATAGGGCATGTGGTGGGGATTCTCACATTCCCAGGCTTTTTGAGTTCTGGGGGCTCTGGCGCCTTTTCATCACCAGTGCCGGACAGCAACAGCCAGAAATCTGCCTGGCAGTCAGACATAGGTACCTTCTGAAGTAGGTAGTTCCAGCTTCCCTCCAGGACATAATCCCACCCCTGTCAGCACTGACCCCTTCTTAGGCTCTGTCTACAATTTTTTTTTAACCAGGTGAACAATGGGAAGAGGAAGCTTTGGATGAGTTTGACAGACTCACTCACTGTGCTGACTGGAAGCCCCTGGTGGCCAAGATCTCTAGCTATGTCCAGTCTGGGATCTCAACTTGGCCCAAGGTCTATTTATATGATACCAGCGATGGGAAGGTAAGACTGAGGTTCACTCGTTGCTCACTGTCTCTTCAGTATATTTATAGGCTCATCTTCTTTTCCTTTCCCAGAAATCCTTATTTGATGATAGTCCTGCCTCATAAGATCCTGCTTAAATGAACCACCAAAGGAATTTTTTTAAAGTATCAATCCCAGCTCTTCTGCCCTTCCTTTGATTTGCCCTTCTTTGAACACCAAGAAGCCTTTTCATTTCTTTTCTCAGAAACTTGATATTGGGCTAGAATTAGTTCGTAAAGGATACGCAGTCGAGCTTGCAGAAGATGTGGAAAGAAGCCAAGCTGCCCCAGTGATGTTGGACGACCTCGTAAGTGAGCCTTTACTATCATGGGGTGCTGCTCTGGGACCAACCTTGTGCCTCAAGACAGGGGGGCTTCTAGTCAGGCGTGCAGTTTGTAGAGCACTCTTAAGGACTCTGAGTTGCTCCACTAGTTGATCAAGGGAAGCACTGTGTCCCTCAGCAGCCATACCAGACTCTGAGCAAAATGATGCGGTGGCTTCTCCTTTCCCACCAGCCAAACACATTCTTCCTTTTTCTCCTGTTTATGCCCTCAGGCCACAGAAACAGATGTCTCACTGAGCATGCTCACTGAGACCAAGAAGAGCCCTGGAGAGATAGCAAACACCCTGTCCTGCCTCAGTTTATCAGGTACAACAGCATTTGCTCCCTCAAGCATCTCTGGAAGTTACCAATTCTTAGTCAGTCTCTCCCAACTAGGGAAGTTGTGTCAGGATTTATCTCCTAACCAGAGTGGTCATTGAACACCAAAAAGCCTATTTTTTTCTCTGATCCTCAATGGCAGTGCCTGCCACAGTAGGGCAGTATCTAACTTTATCCTCATGTCTGAATAGAAGCTGCTTCTATGTCTGGTGATGATAATCTTGAAGATGACTACTTACTCTGAACTCACCTTCAGTTGCCTCGGCCATCTGCTTTGCTGTGAGTAGAACTGTCCTCTATCTGTAGCAAGCAGAGAGTAATGAGGGTGACCACAGGGCCTTGCCTCTTCCCTGTAGCCCATCATATTACTACTTCTCTGCAGCTGCCTTCCTGCAGTTTTACTTTCAGTTTGAGCCCTTTCAAGCTTCTTGTGTCTCTCTGTGTGTGTCTTTGGCAGGTTTGGCATAAGACCTGGTGCCTGGAGAGAAGAGCCTGTAATAGAGATCTATGCAGTTCTTCCTTCGTTATATACGTGACCTGGCTTGCTGTGAACCAAATGCATTTCCTTCTTCCACTGGACTACCAGAGGGCATGTGGGGTGGAGGGAGACAGACACATGCCCCTAACTCCACCACCACCCCGTGTGCCCTGTGCAGTGTGAGTACTGCCGCACGGAGCTCAGGCTGCTCAGTATCCAGCTTGTCCCCTCTGCCAGTCATAATGCACAGTATGCTAAGCAATGTCCTCTTTGAGGCTGGGAAACAGCCAGGGTTTGGTTATTGGAAGTGATGATTCTGCAGACTGACTCACCGCATCAGGTTGACTCTGGTTAAGGGGAAATCTTTTGAGTGGTAAACTCAAAGATTGCAGTTAAGTCAGGCAGCAAAGGCAAAAATCAGCATAATTATATTAAAAGCGTCAGGAAGTGAGAAGAAAATACTGCTTCCCAGCCTCAACTGCTGATGTGTTATTGGAGACAAGATTTTTGTAACAGTGCTCTAGCTATTTCCCAGTAAACTTTGGTTAAAATACAAGTAGACAAGGAGAAAGGTAACTCAGGAAATGTTGCTATATTGCTGGTATAGTATCTATATCAATATATGTATATACACAGAGCCATAGAGAACTTGTAGAGCTGTTTAGATCACTTGGGGTGTTCTTTGCTAAATAAAGTTCTTAAGAAAGTTATCTAAAACTAAATGCTGGTTGAATCACAAGGTGGAAACAAGCCTATGGGTATCTTCTGTACTGAAATCTGGCAAAATTGCCAAACACCTCACACCACCTATGAAACAGCTGTCCCTCTCATGTGCAGATCATATTCTTTCCTTAAAGCGACTTCAGGATTAATCATTCACTAACACCTCACCTAAAAGAGGTAGATTAGAATTATAGAAACCTGGGTTCTAGGAATAGATCTTTGCTGTGAACTTACAGAGCCTGTTTCCTTTCATAGCATCTCTCCATTTCTGACAGTATTGTAAGGATCCAGTGAGAACTGTGAAGGTGTTTGAAAGTGGGCAGGAGAATAACGGTAAATTAACTTTTTTTTTTAAGATCAGAAAGGTAAAGTAGAAGACTTAAAACTAGTATATAAGACACTGATATGTGGGACTTTTTAATCTAGGAGTTAATGAAGTCTACCCATATACTACATGGCAACTATATTTTCCAAGAAACACAATTTTCAAATTTTATTGTCTTAGAAAAACCTCAGTACCAATTAGCAGAAAGACTTCAGCGAAGGAGCATCTCTGGGTAGCTTGGGTAGCCCCACAGGAATCAATGAAAGCATGCCGTTGATTTGATATTTCAGACCTTGGCTGCACTTGCTCACTGAAGCAGGCTTGGCCCTGGAATTGGAGCTACTCTACGACAGGATCATGGGGCCAGTCAGTCCCCAGTTTCCTCAGCCTTTGCTCTTTTTTAAATTTTATTTCATCGAAGTATAGTTGATTTACAGTGTTGTGACAATCTCTGCTGTACCGAAAAGTAACTCAGTTATACAGACATTCTTTTATTTCTGTATTCTTTTTCATATGGTTTATCCCAGGATATTGAGTATAATTCCCTGTGCCATACAGTAGGACCTTACTGTTTATCAGCCTTTACTCTAAAAAGAGGTCTCCTGATATAAATTGTTCATAGGACTTCTCTGAAAAATGAGTGGTGTCTCGTTCTTAGCTACAGTTTGTTACTGTGTATGAAAGCCTTTTCCTTTAATATGGCTTTTAAGACCTCTTAACCCATCCTGATGGGTTCCCTATTCTTAACAACACTACTTTTGCAGCCTCCTGGAATGTTCCTGCCCTTAAACTAGTGCCACAGGAACCATGTACCTTCTCTGATTTCCTTCACTTGTCTCCAGTTTGAACCGAAATATATGGATAAAAATATCCCAGTAAAGCTTTTAAGTCTTTCTGAATTCCCTGGTGCTTGGTTCCTGCTTCTGGCAGGTGCTCAGATGGTTAAAACAAATGAGGGAATGATTTGGGGACAGGGGAAAGGCAAAAGCTTAAGATCCTCGGGTCCTTCCCCTGTCTTTCTCAGACCCCTTTGAGCTTTTCAGTCATCAAATGTCTGTCTATCCTACAGTGAATTCAGCTCTGTAAGGTTCATTTTTCACTCCAGCCAACCGTCTCCCCCCAGCCCCCCTGCAAATAAATAGTAAACACATGAGGATTGCACTGCCCTTTACTCCTGGATGGAAGGTGTCCTGTCACATCCTGGAAGCCTGGCTCTCACTTAACAAGGCTCCCAGCCCCTCACAGGGTAAGAATATGCATGTTCAGGGAGGTTCACTGGGCAGGTGGCCAACATCCCTTTCAAGGGGGTACACCATAAATACGACACTGTCCCAGGGAGGAAGGGCTGGGTGGTCTGGTCTGACCACCTCAAAGCCCATGTAGCTGAAGGCGCGTAGCAGAGCACCTGTGAAAAGAGAACAAAATTAGAACACTCTAAGGCTCCATGCAACCATTCCCCTAGGTTTGGCTTCTTCCACTGGGGAATGACCCGGCAGGGAGCAGTGTGCTGCAGGCACAGGGATGATGTGCTTTGGAGTCAAACAGAGCTGGACTCTAACCTGGCTTCAGTGTTCTACATGTTTGTAAAATGAGGATCACAGAATTTAAATGAGATGTTTACAAAGTGCCTAACACAAATGATGGTATAATAAACTCTTGCTTGTCTCTCATATCCAACAGAGTATAAGCTCCCTGAGGGAGCAAGGGTTTTTGTAATGTGCACCTCGCATCTGGCTAAATATATTCCTGGCCTTTCGCCTGACCCTTTCACACTATGGGTGCTTAATACATTTGAGACTTTCTGTTCTACCAGCCACATCCCTTGAATGGCTTCTGTGTAATTTCACCAGTACTCCTTCAGTCTAGCTTCTGAAATCTGTGTGCAGGGCCTTCCTGACAGTTCTGTTATGACTTGAATGAACAGAATGCTAGATGCCTTAATTTCCTTGGTAGGGAGAAGGGGATGGATGTTGAATCCCTGAACTGCCTGAACATGCCCTTTCAAGTGAGGCGAGGAAGGTCTCCTATAGAGGGGAAATCACTGTCAGCTGCTTCAGCACAAAGGGCCAGGAAGATAGAGCAGATTCCCCACCTCTGTCATTCCGGTTGTTTTGGAAGTTTACAAACACAGAATCCACATTGGTCTTCTCCTCCACATACTCCAATGCTGCGGTCAAACTAGGGATCAGAAGGAAAATGGTTAATGGCATGTTTTGCAAACTCAAAATCGAGAAAGGTGCCAATTTTCAGCAGAAGACATTTTATTGCTCAGTGTTTCCTGACCCAAGGAAGTGAAAGTTCCAAACTAGTTTTGATGGATTTTTCTCTGAAGCTAAGGGTTTATACACTATGGCCTGATACCCCTGCTGTGGAAGGGGCTTGGGGAAGAGGGGCCACAAACAGCTGGAGAGCACTTCCTTTCAACTATTTATGGATTCCACCTTGTGATTCTGAATCAGTTTAGCAACCTCCTATGGGCTGTTATCCCTTGAATCCAGATCCTGGCTCAGCTCACCGGCTGGTTCAGTGTTTTGAATGTATCCAGCTCCTGAATAAGCCCTCACTGGCTAGCATGCCCGTAAATCTGATTGTGACATCAGAGTGAAAACCTTATGTCTTCCCTTCACCTCTCCCTGCCCCCATCCAGGCTCAGTCACCTTTCCCGGCTGCCTTGATCCAAGGCCCGATACGGGATGTCCAGGAAGAGCCTGTGGTCACATAGAAGGCCGTGCCAGTGGGCAGAGGTCTGGGGGGTGAGGCGGAAGTGGAAGTCTAACTGCACCGGGTCCTTGTGAAGCAGGGGGTCAGTAGACAGCACCGTCAGGTTCCCAGCCTAGAAAAGGAGTAAAAATGAGAATAACAGCCTACTGTTTCTGTGCTCACCTAACCCTCAAATCAGATCTCAGACCCGTTTGGGTGTGTCTGTGGAAGCAAGAAGGAGGCTGATGGAGAGCCTCGGTAAAGTGGAGCCAGGCCTTACTCAATATCTCTTAGTCCTAGGACCTAACTCTGTCCCTACCATGGAGTTTTCCTTGATAAATACTTGGAATCTGGAGTCAGTACTACCTGCTGACTTCACTCGGGTACACTAATGGCTCAGAAACTTTTATTTACATCAAACAGCTTATTCTTTAAACAAAATTGTGCTATCTGTTTACTGTCTCACTAATAACACTCTTCTACTTTTTTTCCATCATATATGTTTTCTCTAAATTCTGCCACTTCTTATCTAAAAATGCATAGCTCATACCTAGGCATGATGATACAAAGGCAAGTGCAGGAGTTCTGGATTCTAGACCCAACACTTAGCATCTAAACAGCTTTATGTCCCAGAATACAGCTTTATGTCTTAACATAGTCTTATCTTTGTTTTCAATTCCTCTTTTCCCGTCCTGCTTTTCAACACCAGCTCTAGGACCCTGCCTTAAGTTCTCTGGACCAGAATCCTTGTAAAAAGGATTAAAAGGATAAAAGCAAGTCACTTTTACACAGGAGCTCACAGCTTTATGATTTATTTTCCAACTAGTTCATGTCCCTTTGCAAGATATCATATTATAGCAAGCAGTGAGCTGCCATGTCCCAGCAGCAGCTCCCAGTCCACTTACCGAATATAATTCTTTAAGCTGGTCTTGATCACCCTGCTGGGTGCATCTGCCCCGCTGAAGACCTACCAGGGACTCAGGAGCACTGAAGACAGCAGCGGGGCCGGAGTGTCAAGTCCTCCTCTTCCTTATAAGTGGTGATGCTGATGAGGAAAAAGAGGCCCACATTAGTTGACCTCTGAGTCTGAGATGAGGAGAGACTTACCTTCCAGGTACACTGGGCCAAGCTCTGGCACTGTCTTCTGTATCTTACGTGAACCAGCCTATCTATTTCCATTTCCCCAGGCCAGCCAGATAGAAAGGTTTACAAAGTTTCATGCCAGCCTTTCACCCTATTTTGCTATTATCTTTTGCCACTTAGGGAGTCCTTTCAAATTCTTTTATTTTTCTTTACAGTTTATATAAACAACTACAGGTAGAGATTAAAACAAGTACCTTCTACAGCAAGGCAGCATCTTCTCCCGGAGGGTGATCCGGTACTTGTAACAGTAAAGGTAATAGGCGTATGGTGACCAGAACGGGTAGAGGTAGTTCCGTGTTTTTCCCCTCTTGATATAAGAAAGGGAGTAGAAAGAGGGGCGTGACCTGTAACAAGGCAGTTTCTTAGTTCAGTGCCTCCCCGCGGCAAAGTGAGGTTCAGGGGCTGGCGGCAGGGGTTCAGGCCACTGGTGCTATTGTGACACGGTGAGCGCTGTGACGTGGACAAAGGCTCAGCCTTCAGTCACTTCAGGACTCCTCTCTGCTGCTCCCTACCCCACCCTACCCGCTTAGGTAGCCCCCAAAGCTCTTGTTCAACTAGTATGGACTTCATGGCTGTACCAGAAATTAAAATACTGTTTGTTTCTGTATGGTTGGTAAACACCCCTGGCTGACCACTTGTGCTCACGACACGTGGGCTCCCCTCTGGCATGTGCATGTGGCAAACACACACTTCAGTAACAGATTGGGGTCTGACTGCAGGAGGCTTCTAAGGCCCTGATCCAGTATCTGACTTGATTGGTTGGTTCCCTGTTCCTATCAGTTCAATATTTTTATTATCCCTACCTTTTATAACCCAATGGTTCTACATGTTGTTGAACTTTCTCAGTGCCTTATGGGGTAGGAACTGCAAACTCAATGCCTCCAGGGGCCTGGACAGCTAGGGGATATTAGTGGAGCTGCTGGGTGGAACTATAGCAAAATGAAAAGCTCACACACTCTTTAAAAAAAGGGGGGGTGGAGGGTGGTGACACAGCTCAGCTCCAAGTTTCCATGCAGGAATGCAGACCAGATCATACGATTTTCAACAGAAACTGGAAAGAGATTTTTGTGGTAAGTTTTCTCAAAAAGATTTTTTTTTAATCTGAGAAATTTTACTGCCTGAGAAGCCCTGTAAACTATAGGGAGAATAGAAGAAGAAGAGAGCTAATGGGACCGGGTCATACAGGGCCTTGTAGACCATTGTATGGCCTTTTCTTTGACTAAAGGGGGAAGTCTTTGCAGGTTTTGGACAGATGAGATGATCTGACATGTTTTTCAAAAGATTCTGATGGGTGTATTGCAAATAAACTGTAGAGCTCTAAAGGATATTTGTTAGGAGACTATCGCTGTAATCCTGGAGAAAGATAGTATCTTATACCATGGTGGAGAGCTGGAGGTGATGGGATGTGGTTGGATTCTGGAAATAGTATAAAGGTAGCACCCACAGGATTTCCTGAAGTAGGAGAGAAGGTGAGTCCAAGAACTGAAAGAATGGAGTTACCATCGACTGAGAGGAGAAAGGCTGCAGGTGAGGCAGTATGGGGCAGAGGATAGAGATGGGTTTAGTTTGGAGCTTAACTGAATTGTCCACAGATGTATAAGGGGAAGATGAAGTAAGTCGCTGGATAGTCATGGGTGGAGTTTAGAAGTCTAGGGTGAAGACAGAAATTTGAAGTCATTGGCATTTGAGTAAAGGTTGGCATTGAGAAGAGTAAAGATCCAAAGACTGAGTCCTGGAGGCACTCTAAGGGGTGAAGAATAAAGAAATCAGCAAAGGAGACGGAAGAAAATGAGTGAAGCCCCCCGCTTGTTTCTGGGAGCATGTTGAGACCGGAAGGAGAAAAGTAAATTGGTGTCCTGGAAGCTACCTAAAGAAAGTGTGATTACGAGGGACTACTGGCCAAAGGCTGTTTATAGGTCATATAACATGATGCTTAGCATCTTTCCATAAATCTCTTATGCCAAACAGGCCCTATTCATTCCAGTTATATGGTTTACTCCCCAGTACTGAGACCCTCCACAGAGGGAACTGTCTCCATCGTGATTTACACTTATTTAAATACTTGTTAGGAGACTATTGCAGTAATCCTGAAGGAAGATAGTATCTTATTCCAGGATAGGAGGACTAAATACTGTAGTGCAACGATTAAGAGGAGATCCTGAGGTTGGCAGTTTTCCAGAGGATTCCATCCTCCCACCACTTTTAGATAGATTTGAAGGAAGGAAAAGGGAGAGCAGTACCCTCTCCTCTCAGCATCCAGCTATCACAGAACGTCAGAACTGGAAGCGATCTCAGAGAGCGACTGGAGCTAAATAAAAAGCCCCCAATAATAAAGACACTAATAAAGACGAATGAAGCCAAGGGAGAGAGAGCGTGTCTTTCCCGGTGTCAGTGCACCTAACAGTCATTCCACTATCTGTCAATGGCCGTGGGTATCCCTCCCCCGAGAAGAAATTGGGAAAGGGGAGTGGCGGAAATGCTGAATCGTGGAGCACTCATCCCAGCTAGATCTCTGGTCTCCGCACATCCAAATCGCAGCTCAATCCGCGCCAGGCTTTCCTTGAAGCTCAGCGCGCAGGGCCGCGCCGGCTCAGGCGCGCCGCGGGCAGCCCGTGGGGCCTTTCCTGCTGCCTGCGCCTTGCGGGCCTTCCTCTGCGCCGGAGAACATGGCGGCAGCCGCTTTCGCGGTCCCGCGGGGAATTCAGCTGCGGGTGTTCGCTGAGCGGCTGCTGCGAGGAGGGGCCCGGGAGCTCCTCCGGCCGCGACCTTTAGGGAGCACCCCCGGCTCGGAGCGCGACTTCAGCCTGTCTCTCAGTCGGGTGAGGGCCGCGTCTGAGTTCTGGGGCTCCTTGCCTCTGGTGGAGCTAGTTATGGCCGAGGCTTGTTTTGAGAAGCGCGCTGAGACTGGGTGGGCCCCAAATCGAGGGTGGTGGGCTCTCCTTGAGGTGCCGGCGGGCAGTGGAGGAGGCTTCTTCTCGAATACTCGCTCACCCTCGCTCCCCCGGCCGCCAGGGCACGGTCATTGTAGAGCGCTGGTGGAAGGTGCCGCTAGCGGGAGAAGGCCGGAAACCGCGCCTGCACCGGCGACACCGCGTCTACAAGCTCGTGGAAGATACGAAACACCGGCCCAAAGGCAGCCTGGAGCTCATCCTCACCCAGTCGGTGGACGGTAAGGCCCGGGGAGAGGTACTTCACTCAGCCTGGTTCTGTTCGACATCAACTTTTTTCTGCCCTTTCACTCCGTTGGGGGAATGATCAGCTGTCTGAAAAGCAGCAGCGGTAAAAAGTAAAAAGTGATTGTGACATTGATTTCCTACATAGAAAATTAGAATATGAATGCTGCATCATCTAATTTTATGTTCCAGAGTCTTGGAAGGCCTCATTTTTACTTTCCCTATGCATGGGCTTCCCAGGTGGCGCTAGTAGTAAGGAACCCGCCTGCCAATGCAGGAGACTTAAAGAGACACTGCTTTGATACCTGGATCGGGAAGATCCCCTGGTGAAGGACCTGGCAACCCACTCCAGTATTCTCCCCATGGAGAGAGGAGCCTGGCGGGCTACGGTCCACATGGTCGCCAAGAGTTGGACAGGGCTGAAGCCACTTAGCACAGCATCTTTTACAGTGTGTGGGGAGAAAGGCCGGAGAGTAGGCACCACATACTGAAATCTCCGTGATGGGACAATGCTTCACTTTGTACATGGAATATTGAGTTTCTCAATCAGGCCCTAAAGAAATGAATTAGAAATCGTGTTGTTCCTAGTGAGTACTCATATTTCTTCTGGGAGGAATAAGCACTGAGAGAGAATAAGAGGTCTCTTTTTCTTTGATCATCTCCTCTTTAGGGACTGCTAGATAATTCTGATCCTGTGCCTCTCTTCTCTGTTGGCAGAACTTGGAGTCCGAGGTGACCTGGTCTCAGTGAAAAAATCTGTGGGCCGTAATCGACTACTTCCTGAAGGACTGGCTGTGTATGCATCTCCTGAAAACAAGAAACTGTTTGAAGAGGAGAAATTGGTGAGCCCAAAAAGAAAGCAGAGGGACTCAAAAGATATTAAAACCTGAACATTACTTCTGACTTCTTTCCCTTTGATATTTATTTTGAAAATGAGGTAGGGACTAGAAGAAGAGGAATTCAGAAGCCCATACTCTGCCCAGCATAGTAAGACTTTGTTGTTAGTTACTATGGACTCTTTTCTCTTTTTCAATCTGTAACTTTCTCTTCCAGCTGAGACAAGAAGGAAAACTAGACAAGATCCAGACCAAGGCAGGTGAGGCGGTGAGTAGAAACATAGAAATTCTTTATTGGTCACCTACAGAAGTCACCAACCTCTCCCTTAAAAGGCTTCTTGATTTCCTTGAAGTCTCTTGATTTCAGGCACAAGGCAGGGGCAAGGGGAAGTATTGTGGCTACTGTAACTGATGTTAGTATTAAGACCTCCTAGGAGATCCTCACATGTTAAGTGCTCTAGCTTATTGAGAGCTTACTGGGAGGCCCCTTCCTGGGCACCAGGGGACCCATGGAAAAATGTGAGATGAGGACTCTGCCTTCAGGGATGTTGACAGACAGGCTGGAGAGAACACAGACACAAGAGAAAGTGATACATAAACTCAAGACAATAAACTATGAGTGACGTGGACTGAAACAGATTAGGGTGATTGAGGAGGCATTTTTTTCATATGGGATTGAATTAGGCCTTGTGGGATTAATAGGCTTTGGATAGACCAGGAAGGTAGGAAAGGTATTAAGGGAGACAAAGTCTCAGTAGATAATTAAGGCATGTTTTAAGGTTACACTTCATTTATACTTATTACAAAATATTGGCTATATTCCCCATGCTGTACAGTACATCCTTATAACCTATCTTACACTCTATATCTGTGTGCATCTGTTTTTTTCTCATTATATTCACTGATTTGTATTTTTTAGATTCCAGATATATGTGATATCATACCGTATTTTTCTAACTTATTTCACCTAGCATAATGCCCTCCAAGCCCATCCTTATTGCCGCAAATGGCAAAATTTTGTACTTTTAAATGGCTGCATAGTATTCCATTGTGTCTGTGTGTGTGTGTGTGTGTGTATTTGCATATACCATATCTTTATCCATTCATAATAGACACTTAGGTTGCGTCCATAACATGGCTATAAACATTGGGGTGCGTGTATCTTCTTGAATTAGTGTTTGGGAGGGGGGTTGGACATATATACCCAGGAGTAGAATTTCTGGATAATATGGTAGTTTTAATATTTTTAGTTTTTTGAGAAACTGCTCTACTGTTTTCCACAGTAGCTGCACAAATTTAAATTCCCACCAACAGTGTACAAGGATTCCCTCTTCTCCACATCCTTGCCAGCATTTGTTACTTGTTTTCTTTTGATGATCGCCATTATGTCAGGTGTGAAGTGAAAGCTCAGTTAAAGCATGTTTTAAAATAGAAAGTAGACCAGTCTAGTTAAAGCAGAGGACAATAGTATATTAGGAAATATATGACTGGAAAGTGGGGTGGGCATGATTTATAAAACATCTTTAATCCTCAGCTAATGAATTTATACTTCATTCTGTAAGCAAGGAGGAATCATTAATGGTGTAGTGGTAGGATTAAAGGGCCAGAATATTGGGTTAAAACGGTCTATGAAAGTTTCCATCCTGAGACGAACGGTCGATGAGCCTAACTTTGACATGGCCTGTGTCTCCTTGCTTAGGAATAGCCAGATATAGGCAGCATTCCCCTCCAGAGCATTGTTAAAACATCTTTCCATAATGTCAGTCTTGAGACAATAGGAATTTTTATCTTTCCTATTCATCATCTCACCTCTCTTGGCTATGAGGCAGGAATCGTGCTTTGCCTGAACTCTCAGACTTTTGCCTCTTGGCCTCTTGCTAACATGTTTCCTCTCCTTGATTCCAACTCTAACCTATCCTCTGTTTATAATTCCTCTCAGACAGTGAAATTTCTGAGGAGTTGTCACCTGGAGGTAGGAATGAAGAACAATGTCAAATGGGAGCTAAACCCTGAAATAGTTGCCCGCCACTTTCTCAGAAATGTGAGTACTCCCAAACACCACTATACCCCTAAGATGGAAGCTACCCCTGGGAAGAAGCAGCTACTCCAGGATTGATCCCTCTGTTAGGAAAGGGTGTGATCATCCAGTTGAAGTTAAGGAAAGCCTTTTTTTAATTATAGTTGATTTAAAACATGTTAATTTCTACTATACAGCAAAATGATTGTTTTATATATATGCATCCTTTTTCATATTCTGTTATGGTTTATCATGGGATATTGAATATAGTTCCCTGTTATATATAGTAGGATCTTGCTGCTTATCCATCCTGTATAGTCGTAATATATAGTCTGCTAATCCCAGACTCTCAATCCATCCCTCCCCAATCTGGCAGCCACAAGTCATTTCCCTCCCACAGCTGTGCAAGCCAGTCAGGAATGCTTTCCCTAAGTTGGACAGCTATATGTAAATCAATGTTGGCAGTCAGAAGTCTGTTCTCTATGTTTGTGAATCTGTTTCTGTTTCATAGATCATTTGTGTCACATTTTAGATTCCACATATAAGTGACAGCATATGGTATTTGTCTTTCTGACTTTGTTCACTTAGTATGGTAATCTAGGTCCATCCCTGTTACTGCAGATGACATGATTTCATTCTTTTTTTTTATGGGTGAGTAGTATTCCATTGTATATATGTACCACAGTTTCTTTATCCATTCATGTGTTGATGGACATTTAGGTTGTTTGCATGTCTTGACTGTGATGGGTCTTTGTTACTTCACGCAGGCTTTCTCTGGTTGCAGCGAGCATGGGCTACTCGCTGTTGTGGTGTGCAGGCTTCTCACTGTGGTGGCTTCTCTTGTTGCAGAGCATGGGCTCTCGGTGTGGGGGCTTCAGTAGCTGTGGCACAGGGGCTTAGTTGCTCTGCAACATGGGGGATCTTCCCGGACCAGGGATCAAACCCATGCCCCCTGCATTGGCAGGCAGATTCTTAACCACTGGACCACCAGGGAAGTCCCATGTATATCTTTTTGAATTACAGTTTTGTCCAGATATAAACCCAGGAATGGGCTTCCCTGGTGTCTCAGATGGTAAAGAATTTGCCTGTGATGCAGGAGACCTAGGTTTGAACCCTGAGTTGCAAAGATCCCCTGGAGGAGGGCATGGCAACCCACTCCAGTATTCTTGCCTGGAGAATCCCCATGGACAGAGGATCCTGGTAGGCTGCATGCAGTTCCTGGGGTCACAAAGAGTCCAGCACAACTGAGCAACTAAGTGCATACCTAGCAATGGTATTGCTGGATCATATGGCAACTCTAGTTTTATTTTTTTGAGGACGCTCCATATTGTTTTCCATACTGGCTGCACCAGTTTACATTCTCAGCAGGAGTGTAAGAGGATTCCCTTTTCTCCACACCCTCTCCAGCACTTGTTATCTGTAGACTTTTGTTCACTTTTGGATACACTAGCCTTTGTTGCTTCATGGGGGCTTTTTCTAGTTGTGGTGACTTGGGGCTACTCTATACTTGCAGTACATGGGCTTCTCATTGCAGTGACTTTTATTGCGGATCATGGGCTTCAGTGGTTGTGGCGTGTGGACTCTGTAGTTGCAGGTTGCAAGCTCAGTTGCCCCTCGACATGTGAGATCTTCTTGGACCAGGGCGTTGAACCCATGTCCCCTGCATTGGCAGGTGAATTCTTTACCACTGGACTACCCGGGAGGTCCATGTAGGCTTTTTAATGATGGCTGTCCTGACTAGTGTGAGATGGCACCTCATTTACTTTTGATTTGCATTTCTCTAATCATTAGCAGTGATGAGCATCTTTTCATGTGTCTGTTGGCCATTGTATGTCTTCTCTGGAGAAGTGTCTGTTTAGGTCATCTGCCCATTTTTTGATGTGGTTGGCTTTTTTTTTTTCTTTCAATTTGTATTATTTTTAGCTGCACTTGGTCTTCATTGCTGCGCCCAGGCTTTTTCTAGTTACAGTGAACAGGAGCTACTCTCTAGTTGCAGTGCACAGGCTACTGTGGGGGCCTCTCGTTTCAGAGCACGGGCTCTCGTGTGCATGGGCTTAGTTGCCCCACAGCATGTGAAATCCTCGGGATTCAACTCATGGCCCCTGCATTGGCAGACAAGATTCTTAACCACTGGACCACCAGGGAAGTCCAGTTGGGTTGGTTTTTTTGTTGTTGAGTTGTATATGAGTTGTTAGTATATTTTGGAAATTAAGCCCTTGTCAGTGGCATCATTTGCAAATATTTTCTCCCAGTCTGTAGGTTGTCTTTTTGTTTTGTTTATGGTTTCCTTTGCTGTGCAAAAGCTTGTAAGTTTGGTTAGGTATCACTGTTTACTTTTGCTTTTATTTCTGTTGCCTTGGGAGACTGACCTAGGAAATCACTGGTACAATGTACATCAGAACGTTTTGCTTGTGTGTTCTCTTCTAGTTTTGTGGTGGTGTCTTGTGTTTAACGCTTTACACCATTTTGAGTTTAATTTTGTGTATGGTGTGAGGGTGTCTTCTAACTTCACTAATTTACATGTGGCTGTTCATCTTAGGGAAAGTGTTCTTGATTGGTTTGCAGGAGTGTGGGAGGGAAATGACTAAGGATGGTCACAAAGAAATTGAAAACTGATAGGAGAAGGTGGGAACATTTATTTTCTCTAGATAGGAAAAGCTGGGGAATTGTGACACTGGAGAATTTTTACTTATGTGGATGAAGTGATTTTGATCTCAAACCCTGTTTCTGTTTGTGAAACCACGTCCCTGAGAGATCAGGACTGGGTTTCCCTGCCACTCTTCGTGGAGGTTTGTGCCTTTCCGTGGGATCAGCCAGGGTAGACTCCCCAGTTTTACTTAGCCTTCTACAGGGAAGTCTAGAATCCTCTTGAGACTGCCCGGAGTGGCAGCCATGTAAGCAGAGCTCCTTTTGGCTGTGATTTTTTTGCAGCTTGGCGTTGTGGTTGCCCCACATGCATTAAAGTTGCCCGAAGAGCCCATCACCCAGAGGGGTGAGTACTGGTGCGAGGTGACGGTGAGTGTTCCACATACGGTCTCCTTTTTCTGACTGGGTAGAAAGCTGGGATTGGGTGGTGGTAGCCCCATTTGCCCAACTGATCTAAGCATTCCTATTGTTCTGTGTGCAGGTAAATGGACTTGACACTGTGAGGGTACCTATGTCGGTGGTGAACTTTGAGAGGCCCAAAACCAAAAGATATAAGTACTGGTTAGCCCAGCAAGCTGCCAAGGGAATGGCCTCCACCAGCTTCCAGAAGATCTGAACCTGTTCTCCCTCGAAAGCAGCGAAGCAGAAACAGGAACGGTGGAGCAAAGATGAACCAGCACCGTGATGCTGCTCCTAGCTGTGACCAAACACGGGATTTTAGAGAGCGTACGGAGGCAGCAACAGCAGACCGGACTGTTTGTATGTGTTGAATCGTCCATATTTGCCATCTTCAACAGTTATCACGTTTGGCCTTATTGGGGATGCCTGCTCCAGAAGTACAGGCTGTGGATTTGATAAGCTAAATGTTAATAGACCAAAAGAGTCTAGATCCTACTTAGCCTCTTCCTTCATTGCAATTCATTGCAATAAATGGTAGAGCTAGCTAGCTTATTCTCATCATCCAAACTGAACACTGTATCTAAGAAAAAATAAAAAGCTTGTGTTCTTTTTAGGTGTTGTTTACCGACTTGAGTAGACTGGGGACAGGACTCCCAAGTGGAATGTCCTCTTGGAAAGCCCCTAGGGTTTTCTGCTAAAAGGGGAAAAAGAACATTTTTGGGGCTACAGCCCACAGTTGCTATGGACAAATTACTCAACAAGCTGATATGCCTTATGGTCTTAAAACTTAGTAAGTATATTAATAAAGTCCTCAATGCAAATAAGCACAATGGATTCTCCTTGTCTAAGGAGATCTGAATAAGGCCTAAGGACAGTTGTTGGAGAAAATAAAGCTGGAATGAAAGAAGTTTAAAAAGGGAACTCCTAAAATTTTGAAAAAGAAAATACCTTGGTTTCTAGACAGAGGTTAAGATGTGGGGCTAGTTCATAAGTAATTATGGATTGGGAGATGAGGCAAGTTGATAGTTCTGCATAAATTCAAGGTTCATTCCTGGAAGAAAGACCAACTCTTGTTACGTGGATTGTGCTGGAGTCACTCAAATGTGAGATTTTTAGGAAGGATAAAGGCGAGACCATTGACTCTTTGCTACCCTTACCAGAAGCTCAGAGAAATTGATTTATCCTGTTTGAGCTCACCTGCCTTGCCAAGCCAATTAACTACTTTCATCCACATGTAGCCATCCTTGCTAATAAGAGTTCTTTCATTAGTGGTTGCAGCACTTTTATCTGTATCCAACCTCATACTTTCCAGAATTCCATAACTCAGGTCGAGCACTAATATTCTTTGAAATTTGCTGTTCTACTGTCAAATTTGCATCAATCCCTGCTGTCCTTGAAATGGAAAGGTCATTTAACACTGCATCATTCCATACCACCATCATCACCACGTTGAAGCTCTCTAAAATTGAGCAACAGACAACATTCCACACAGCTAATCTCAAAAAGTGTTTAAATACTTGTCATAAGGTGAGTTCTTGGCAAAACCGTGATATGGGTGAGGCTTACTGGGGGGAGTCCTCTAGATTAACACCTGTTGGGGAATGAAGGAAGCAAGGTTAGGTAGAGACAGAAGTTGAGCTGATGCAGTTTCAGCAAAGGTCTTAGTCCCACAGGAGGCTGAAGCTAGGAATGGCTCTACAGAGATATGTACCACTTAGGCAAGTGGCCAGATCTGTGGAACCTGACACTGACCAGGAGAGGCTCTTGGGTGAGGTGACTAATTTCAGGCACAGGCAGTTCCCAGGGGGAACATAGATGAGAGCTGTATGCATTCTCAGCAGCCTGGGAAATGAGTGCCTCAGTGCTGAAGGCAGGTGTCAGGGCAGCACACCATAGTGTCCACTACAGTCCACTTACTGTGCTCTTCAGACCCGTTTGCTTCATAAGTCCTAAAACGATCCTTCAGGTTCTGGGAAAACAAAAGGAAGATCTGGGACAGACAATAGCCCCTGCTGCTGGAGCTTAAGTCTACAGCTGATACCTATTTCCTCTTCAACTACCCATTCTAGATTCTTCCCCACATCCCCCCAGTTTATACTTCTGTTGGCGCAAATGGGTTACCTTCTCAGGCCATGACTACACTTGTCCGTTTATAATAAAAATTAGGCAAGAGTGGATGACTTAGGTGCCAAGTATACGCTCCCTTGTCCCCACTGTGTAACAGCAGCCCTACCTCCTGATGGTTAAGAGTCAGTTACTCCTGCTGGGTTAATGATTCCTTCCCTTAACCTCACTGTCTTTTGGTAGTGATCGGAAGTAAATCTGGTGACAGCCCTAACTTAAAAGGTAATGATATTTTTAGTGTGTCCACTAGTAAAACTGTTCCCCTTCTGTGAAGCAGGACTTCTAAATATTCAGAGCCCTGAGTTGGAGGCACAATTTCCTCCAGGTGGGTCACTGAGAGATGGTAAAGGGGGCTGCTCCTACACCCAACACAGTTTCCCAGGCCCATATGTTTTAGTTAGGGACAGCACTCTAGGTTGTCTGTTGATCCAGGGTATAAACTGTATCCTGGAGGATGGTATCTCATCTTTACAGGGTGTCGTCTCCAAGCTGGTGTCTCCAAGATGTTCCATTGTTGCTTCTAGATAGTATGGAATGTGATCAGACCACGGATCCTGTGGTCATGTACCCAGTGTTGTACCTCCTTGCTATAATAGGGGTCTCTTAGGGTTGATGAAGATAAACTGACTAGAAATTGAGAAACAGAACACTGTAGATGAGGGAGTGACCAGAGTTTTGGAGATCTGCAGAGGGATCCCCTCAAACCTTGGTCTGAATACTGATCTCTGGATATGTGAGGTGAAACCATGAGGCTGAGGAGTGGGGAAAACCAAAAGACAGTAAGCCAAACAGTTCTCAGAGCTCCCACACACAATACTGGGAATGTTCTGTTTGTATTCCTGACAGTGTGGGTAGATCTTATAGAGCACCAGGTGGAGTCTTCAAAAGGGTATTAGGATAAAGGCTACTCTGGACCCACCATGCAAAGCTTGAAAGCAAGCCCTGAAAGGATAATACTGATAACCATGCATGCCAGAACCAAGACCAACACTCATGAAAGATGCAGCAAACATAAAATATGACACTAAAACAAAATTCCCAATGTCTGATGCCCAATCAGTATGCATGTATGCTCAGTCATAGTGACTCTGCAACCCCATGAACTGTAGCCCACTAGGCTTCTCTTCTCTGTCCATGGATTTTCCAGGCAAGAATACTGGAGCGGGTTGCCATTTTCTACTCCAGGGGATCTTCCCAACACAGGGATCAAACTCACGTCTCTTGCACCTGGACTGGCAGGTGGAGTCTTTACCACAGAGCCAGCCAATCAAATATTACCATAAAAAATGACATAAAGAGAGTCAGGAAAATGTTATCCTAACCAAGAGAAATTTTCCTAGAAATGACAGTGATAGTGGAATTAAAACAGCTATAAATAGGCTTCAGACATTTACAGCTGTAAAGGCAAACAAAACTGTAATGAGAGAATATAAAACCCAAATGGAACTTCTAAAGATGAAGAATACAATACCTGATGTGGAAAATACATTGATGGAACTTCCTTCTAGTGGAGCTTCCCTGATAGCTGTAAAGAAACTGTCTGCAATGCAGGAGACCCCAGCTTGATTCCTGGCTTGGGAAGGTCCCCTGGAGAAGGGAACGGCTACCTACTCCAGTATTGTGGCCTGAAGAATTCCATGGACTGTACAGTCCATGGGGTCGCAAAGAGTCGGACACAGCTGAGCGACTTTCACTTTCAGAGATGAAGAACACAATACCTAACGTGAAAAATACGCTGATGGAACTTCTACCTCGGGGGACGGTGGAGTAAATACACTTTCACCATTCCTAGTACAACTACAAATCCTAGAAATTACACATGAAACAAAGACGACTGAGAAGTGGCAAGAAGAAAGCATACTGCTTAGGAATGGTGGGACCCAAGGAACAACACTGCAGTGAATCCCTTGGATTTCCTTTTTGCCTCATTTATCCCAGATTTAAAGAACCAGCAACCTGGAAAGGCCAAATTGGGGCACAAATAAAAGTACAAATAATAAGCCTCAGTAAAAGCCTGCTCCGAGTCAAAGCAAAGGAGCAGCCTTAGCAAAAAGCCTTTGAGACAATTCACTGCTCTACTGCCAAACACCACAGACAACACTGTGGCCCTACCGCCACCATGCCAAGGCTGAGGGGGCTCTAGACCTCCATCCTCTATGAGGGTGCTAACACCTGGGCCAGCACCCCTGCCAGGGCGGTGCCACAGAAGGGCAAATAAGAAACTACAACCTTCCCCTCCACCAGCCAGTAATGAGTCCTATCCCTCCCTGGTGTCAGCAGGGAACCTGGAATTCACTCCCAGCTGGCAGGAAAGAGGCATACTTCTGCCTTCCTACAGGGTTGAGTCAGAGGAGGCCTAGTGGGGAGTTTGCACTTCCACCGTTACCCAGCAGTAATGAGGCCACATTCACCACAGTATCAGTGGAGACCATGTAGGAAGCTGGACTCACATCCCCACCTAACAGGGAAGAGAAGCTCCATGTGCCTTGGTGTCAATGGAGGTAAGGGGTAAAATCTGAAATTATACTTGGCAGTAATAACCTATTTCCCCTTTCTGTGCCAAAGCAGTATAAGAGAAAGGCAGTTAAAACAGAAGTAAGTTTTAAATTAAGATTCAGAGTCTCATAATACAAAAATGTCCAGATTCCAATTTTTAAAAATCTGTCCTCTTAACCATGAACCAAGATGGTTTCAATCAATGAAAAAAGAAAATCGATGCTAGTACTGAGATGATAGAGATACTAGAATCACCTGGCATATTTTAAAGCAGCCATGAGAAAAATGCTTCAACAAACAATTATGAATATGCTTTAAACAAACAGGATAAAACAGCTTAGAGAGAAATAGATGATACAAAGAAGAATTAAGTGGAAATATTAAAACTATAAAATGTAATTATGGAAATGAAAAGTTCAGTGGATGGACTCAGCAGCAGAACAGAGGACAGAGGAAAGGGCTGAAAAAGAGAACAACAGAGACTACCCACTATGAACAACACAGAGAAAATAGAACTGGGGGAGGGGGAAAAGAACAGAGCCTCAGAGGCCTGTGAGACTATAACAAAAGATCTAATATTTCTGTCACTGGAGTCCC